AAACAAGCTTGCTTCACCTGTCAGTCACAACTTCCTCTCCCTCCCTTATTCCCCTGCCCTCCCCCAAACCCCAGCAACCTCTACCCAATCCCCATTCAACTCTCCAGGGTGGGTGAAGTCCTTAGTGAGGGATCTCCAAAGCCTGTAGTATGATCCAGGTCAGGGCCTAGGCCCTCCTCCATGTGTCCAGACAGAGAGAGCATTTCTCCAAAGGCCATTTGAATGCCAGGGATAAATACTGATCTAGTATCCGAAGCCCCCAAAGATTGCCGAAGCCTCCTCACTGACAGCCACATTCAGGTGGTCTGGATCAGTTCCATGCTGGCCTCTCAGCCATTAGTCCTAGGTCCATGAGCTTCCCCTTATTCAGTTCAGATGTTTCTGTGGGTTTCACATGCCTGGTGAGGACCCCCTTGCTCATCACTCCTCCTCTGCAACTGGTTTCCAGGAGTTCAGTTCAGTATTTAGATGTGGCAGTCTGTATGGGTCTTAATTTTTAAAAAATTAAAGTATACTGAGCACTTCATTGTCTCTATGAAATCTTTGTACAGAAAACTGTGTTGCATATACATGTAATCCTGTGTGCGCCGCACATACCACAAGCAAGTCCGAGGTATCAGGAAAAGAAAGACCAGATGTCCAGCTGTTTGTACAAAGAAGTGTCTTTATTTTGCAAGTGCTAAGAGGGCCACTGCTTCCGGAGGTCTTGCTTCATCAAACCATACTAGTCTGGTAGGAATCACAGCTTTTTATTTTCTGTGGAAACAAAAGCAGAATTTTTTCCCAAGTAAGCTGTCCTTATACTTAAATTTAGAAATCAAAGCATTTTCAAAATATGTAAGTTGGATTAGTTCAGTAGCATTGATAATCAAATGTCTTTTAGTAGTTTTTGTTTCATTCTTATCAATTAAACATTTTAAAGACAACACAACAGCGCACAGTATCCAGAGACCTCATGCATTTTCCATTCCATATACTTTTACCTTTTCTTTTCTTTCACTTAATACCAGTACCTCATTTACTAACTGTTAACAATTTTCAATTCACCCATTTTCAATCCATCCTCCAATCGATAAAGATCTCTCAGGTAAAATCCTAAATATTTGTTCAAACTACCCTCCAACTGAGGGTGATCTCTCAGGTTCCCCTTTCTTTCCCGACCTTGTGGGCGAAGGCCTGGAGATTTAACCTGGTACCCCTAACTTGGTACCCCTTTCCAATACACCCTCATAGCCTTTCTTGCTGGCCAGCCTTTGAGGGTGATCTCTCAGTTCCCCCTTGCTTTCCTGACCTCAATGGATCAGGCGAAAGGCTTTAGTTTAATTTAATACACCTTCTCCTTAGAAGGTGATCTCTCAAGCAAAAGCCTGGGGATTTGACAATTCAATATTTCTCTTAGAAGTTCAGGTACCTGTTTTTAATTCTTTTCTTTCTTGAGTCTCTCCTCTCCTGACTCTTCTTTCTGGCCGATCTTTCCCAGTCATTCCAAGTTTCTCTGGATCTGGGTGGGACCTCCAATTGCAGCACCCACACCACAAGCAAGTCCAAAGTATCAGGAAAACAGGAAAAAAAGACCAAATGTCCAGCTGTTTGTACGAAGAAGTGTCTTTATTTTGCAAGTGCTAAGAGGTCTCTCTCTTCTAGCAGGGAGCAGTCTTATATATAGTCTTACAACACAGTAGAAAAACCCCAGGTGGAAGAGAGTGTGTTTTCCTCCTGCTAGATGTTGATGTCAGCGGGGCAATGCAGGGGAAGTAAGCCAAGACTAGAAAACAGGATGCACCTGTGGCTATCAGCTGACAAAAAGTCAGAGACCCTGTGGGGGCTAGGCCCCAACATTGGGTGTTCAGTCAGGAATAGCATGAGTTTAAGGTCAACCTGGACTACAAGAGCAAATGAAAAATATGTTGTATATACTTTATATTAAATAAATTTTAAGCCTCTACAGACTGAATAATTGTATAGTTTATTGATCATCTTTTGCATTTCAAAAGATTGACTTATGTCTTTATTCTAGCTCATCGTTGTCTTACGTTTTCATTCCTCCCATCATCTCCCTTCCTCTTTGTTCTTATTTAGTTAGTAAAAAACTCCATGTAAAAACTTTGAGGTCTGTGTGATCTTTTAAGACAGGGGATAGAACTTTCAGGAGCATATTTAAGTCCATTAATTAGTATGTTGTAAAAGCCCATGAAGGTGAGGAAAGTTGTGATGATAGCATCCCTCCAAGAGACAAACATAAATCAAGATTGTATAGAGACAATGACTATCCATGTTTTTGTACACACACACACAGACACACATCACACACACGTGTGTTTTGTGTAAATATGTGTACATATTTGCGTGTGTCTAGAACATGCATATTAGGTAAGCAAAATGGAACATTAAATAGTCAGCAGCTGGGATTAAGACTAGTATGTGTAGCCCTGTGCACTTAAATTCTAAAACACATTGCTAGTTCAGCAGCCTTTATAGGGTAATATGGCTTTGGATTATTGTGGCAGCTGGCATGGATACCTTTTTCAATCCAGATGTTCAGTTAGCTGAATTCCATTAAGAAAGGGTGGAGAACCTTGTGTTAATTAGTAGTAATTGATGTCTAAATAATAGTCAAGCTGTCTTATGGGCAGCTATATTGAGCATAGTGAAGAGAAGAGCATTAACTTCTGGCTTTAAAAGGCTACTGAGGAAGAGTCATAGCATTGACTCTGCACATTGGCAGTGGGAACATACCCCTCAGGTCAGAGAAAATTGTCTGGGAAGAAGGCAGAAGCCATGGACCTCCTGAGACTTTCAGATACGATGTAAGGTACTGTTTGTCCACTTTTAAAAAATGAATTTCATTTTAAAGATTATACAAAGTGTGTGTGTGTGTGTGTGTGTGTGTGTGTGTGTGTAATACTGGGGGCTGAATGTCAGTCACTGCTTAGACCAGCTATATTCCTAATGTTCTTTTTACTTTTGAAAAATAAAGAGTTCCTTATGTTGGTCTTCAACTCACTGTATAGATCACTTGACTCCTACCTCAGCCTCACATGCTGAAGAGATTATAGATCTACACTGTTATGTTCAACATCAGATTACAGTCTTATTCTCAACAGATCTGAATAGCCAGTTTTCAATAAAATGAACAATTACTGCCACTGTGTATGATATTTTCCTTTTATTTAAATTGTTTTTTCTTTCACAAAAATTCATGTGCTTTCATACTAAGGTAAATTATTTGTCAAACAAAGTGTCAAATATCAATAATGAATTGGAACGCATTTTCAGTGTTAAGATCAAACTCAGTCTTATACATGGCAATTCTATCCTCTGCCTGAAAAAAATGTGATGTAAGAGTAAATTCACTTCAATCATAAAATAGTTAAATGTTATTGGTTTTCAAAAAGCGTATTTCTGTTTCTTGCTTCTAAGCAATTAGTACTTTCTTGAAGATCATGTCAAAATAGTAATATCACATTTTAACTCCGTTGGCTGCAGAATTCTTGTTTATTTCTCTTCCAATGCTGCCTTCTTAAATTGCCTCTAGGGATCCCCAAGAGGAAGGACTCTTCTAGTGTATGTTCCCTAGGTCTGAATGCAGCAAAACCCCATCATTTTGACTGTCTTGAATCCCAGTCATATTCCTTTCAAAGTAACATTTTGCATACTCAGCATGTGCATATACATATGTATATGTGAATGTGTGTTTGTATATATAAATGTTTAAAACACAAGTTTTAAGAATATGATTTGAATTTGAAAGGGCATTTCCTTCATCTGCATCCTGGCCTGCTCAGAGGAGACTGTCTAGACCGGAAGAGAGGGACACCCATCTGAGCATGAACATGCATATGAACTACATTCATGTCTCTCACTCTTTAGAATGACACCTATAGTGTGCACCAGGCAAAGTTGCTTTGTGTGAACTATGTTGCTTAACTTTCAGCATTTAAGATGAGATAAGATTTGACACTCCAGATCTGAGTGCTTCTAATGGCAAAGGTGTTGTAAGGGGATTGGATTTTGACACAACTTGAGTTTATCTGAAGTTGTTCTATATGAAACCACCTATGTACTGATGACATGTCTAAAATAAGATACTGTTTATTTAAGAGGGATAAGAACTACCCATATCCAGGTCTTAGAATGGGTTAATTGATATATGAAATTTTCTTTAAAAAAAAAAAACACAAGGTCCTTTGGAACCAGGAGCCAAGGTTATTAAGGTTATTATGGATTTCAGGCTGTGCTAACATACATCTATCTGGTCCTGAAATGTTACTGAAGTTTTAGACTCCTTTACTGGTGTTGACCAGGTAGAAACAAGTACCATACATAATGTTTAAGCTTCCTTGCATAAGCAGTAACAATGTTACAAACCACAAAATAAAAAAATGCCGCTGATTAATTTATGAAAATATAATAATATTCCTTGCCAAGAAAGCCAAACTTATTCTAGTCTTACATTGCAGACTTTATTGTTTTAATGAATAAAAGTTGTCAAGGTGTATTCATATTTGTGCTTTCTTCATGAAAATTGTATTTTATGTTAGGATATTCACACATTAAAATGAGGAATGTAAAGAGTTAGTATTAGTGTTTGTAAAAAAAATCCTCATCTCACTATTTATTAATGAAGGATGACATTATTTTGAACTCTGCCAAAGTGAGGATGTGTGTGTACATGTTTTATTTAAGAGTAAATAGGAAATATGTTCCTAACTCAATTTAAGAGAATATCAAAGGATAAGTACATTCAAGCCACATTATTCTCTTATTACATTCCCATTATGACTGAACAGTTGCATCTATGAGAGTGAAATTATAAAACAGCTATTGCATATCAGATGATTTTTAATAGAATTTAAAAAATACGATTGTAAAAGTGTGTGGGAAACCATTCAGCCTGCTATGCTTAGAATAATTAGTATATTCTGGCAGGTAATGTTTTCAGTTTATTCTTCTTTTCCTTTCTTCTCCCTTTAGAATGTTTGAATAGCTGGTGCAAATTACTATATCTCCAGCATAGCCATCATTATCAGAGAAATGCTCCATCTCTTTAAATCTCCAAAATCAAGCGGTGCTCCTGTAGAGTTTGCAACACTTGAAACATTTGTAGTGGAAGATGTTGTGGGAGGGGGAGGAGGTGGATTGCTCTTACAAGTTGGAATTGGTGGCTGCCATGTACTGTTACCCTCACACATGATGGTGTCACTCCCATGAAGGAAAAGCCCCTGGTTACATTGAAACGTAACCTGTGCTCTATAGGAATATTTCTTTCTGAATCCTGAAGTCTGTCTCCCATTTCGAATGACAGGATATGGACATCTGACCACTTTGCACTCAGGAGGGTTAGCACTCCATTTTTGATTTTCAGTGCAATAAATCTGTCTCTTGCCAACAAGTGACAGTTCATCCTGGCCAGGAACTTGGTTACATCGGTAAGTTGCCACTTCATTATATTCAAATACGTCCTTGTTACTTGGGGAGAACACTCCATTTATTATATTTGGAGGTGGTTTACATAAAATCGTTGAACATATTGGCGGTTCAGCACTCCACTCTACATCTGTTCCTGTAGCAAGACAATATTGAGTTCCTTCACCAATTAAGAAAAAGCCAGAATTGCAAGTATATTGAATTTGTGTGCCAAACTCCAAACTTCCGTTCACATAGTTTACTTGGCCATTGGTGGGATCATCTAGCCTTGGACATGATTTTTTGTGACAAGCATCCTTTGAAATGGGTGACCACTGGCCATTTGCAGCACACACACTGGACATCTTCATAGAAGGTCGTCTCCTGTATCCTGGTCTACATGAGTATTGTACTTGTTCCCCAGCCATATAACTGGTTTTAGGACTGCCGTTGAGCTGCATGTTTTCAAACTTTGGTGGCTTACCACAGGCATCAGATGATGTAGACAACAGGGTAACCAGGAGGGTCACAAGAAAGCACTGAGCAGAAAAGTCGTCTGAGAGGTGTTGGAGAGGCATCCTGCTCAGTGCTGAACAGGTAAGGCTTTATTTAAATGGGCTGAAAAACCTGCAAGTGTAGGGAAGGACCTTCTGAGTCTGATTACCATATGCAACGCAACAATCCCTAAACCCACCTGGTGTCAAGGCTAGGGAGCTGATGGGCGTGGCCCGGCCACGCCCTGGTAGGAATTTGCTCAACGTACTGGCTGGCTTGGCTCTATCAATATACTACGAATGGAATCTCACTTAAAAGTGGATTTGGGTTAGCTGTCTAAATCTGCAATATTTAATCTTTCTTCATCAGCAAGGGGTTTCTCTATTTTTGATTAACGATTCCTAGACACTGTATTATTTGTGCTTTCTGTCTGAACTTGTCCCTATGCAAGCCTGAAGGTAAGTATTTCTGTGAATGGGGTCGACTTGAGAGATTCCAGATTGCTCAAGTGAGGAATTTGGAAAAGTGGGATTAAGAAAGAAGAAAAGTACATCTCAAATGCGGCAGTGACGATGTTACCCTGTGGCAACAGGGAATGAATCCTGCAGCGGACCCACTTAGGGGGTTCACAGTACCCTTAGATTCAGCCTACAGAGACTGGAACAGTAGAACTCGTTAGTGACTAATGATTGTACTTGTTTCCTTGGACAATGGCTCTAGGTAGATTAGCTTACCTCCATACCGTCATGCTTTTTTAAGAAAATATTACTTGCAGCATGCAAGGACCTAGCTGAGAGACAGAAAAACACGAGTGGAATCGCACGTTGAACATGATTAGTCATCAATATCAAAGCTCCAGTCAGCGAGGCAGAATGGAACTGGAAATGTGGAAGACAAGTGAGCTACAGCATCAGGCTCGCTTGAGGGTGACCTCTTGACTAAATGTTCTTGATCACAGCTATCAAAATTCCCATTGTGCCGCAGATTCAAGTTGTGTAACATCACTGCACATTTCTACATACCATGCTCCTTCTGTTTTTCTGGGTTCTCCTTATCTTATTTGTCAGAAATTAGTCTAGAAACATTTTTGATCTTCCTGTGTCCTTTTAATTCCTTCTTAGAGTTTTGTTTACTTTTTATTGAAAATAATACAATATTCTGGTCACGGTTTCCATCCCTCATCTCCTTCCAGATTCTACCTCCCCACCCATCCAACGCCAACCCTCTATTTCTCTTTAGAAAACAAATATGCAAATAAAAATCAAATAAAATAGTAGAAAACAAATACACAGTGAATAAATAAAACATGTGAAAAAAACACAAGAATTCCACATACCTAAATGCACCTAAAATGTGAATTTCCCCTCTGAGAATGTTCTCAAGAATTCAAATTGCTAAATTCATTCATATTTTGTTTATTTGAATTTACTAATTACTCCTGTGATAAGTCTACTGAATACCATGTTAAACATTTCTGCTTGTATCCTTCACAGAGCATATTTTTGTTATAAGTGTTTGGGCAATTTGTCTGTATGTATGCCTGTGTATCATATGTGTACAGTGCCTAGAAAAAGACATTGGATCCTCTAGAACTGGTTTTTCAGACAGCTGTGAGCCATTGTGTGAGCGCTGACAAACAAACTCAGGTCCTTTGCAAGAGCAAAAGGTGTTTATAACCACCTAACCATCTCTCCAGCCCCTCTCTTGCTTTTGCCTTCTATTTAAAGCCTACCTTATGTCATAACTCCTGTACATGGATTTAGAGTAGTCATTGAATTTCTGTGTCCATCTTTCTTATTCTGCTTTTCATTATTATTATTGAAGATAGGCTTCTGAATCTGGTTTGTCGGTGGACAGACTGTGACCTCTAAGCCCAATAACAGATCTAGCAACACAACTAGTGAGTATGTATCTATGATAGTTTAAATAAAAATAGGCTCCATAGGCTCATATATTCAAAGGCTTAGTTATCAGGGAGTGATACTACACAAAAAGTAATAGGAAGTATGGCCTTGGTGGAGAAAGCTTATCACTGGGAATAAGTTTTCAGGTTTCAAAAGTCCAAGGCAGGCCCAATGTCTCTCTCTTCTTGCTGCTTGCAGATCCACAGACAGAACTCTCAGCTACCCCTCCAGCATCATGTCTGTATGTGTGCCACTATACAGATATAGACTATATCCCTGAAACTCTAAACAAGCCTCAGTTACATTCTTTATTTTATAAGAGTTGCTGTGGTCATGGTATCTCCTCACAGCAATAGAATAATGACCAAGACAGTACCCAAAGCTAATGAAATCTGTATGTTGAGGAATCCTTTGTATCCATGTTCATTAATGGACAATTTGGAAAGACATGAGAAAGAAAATAAAGAATAGCAAATAAAATGTATTGGATATATGAAACAGAACAGTTATTAAATAAAAGAATTAAAGGTCCTTTATGACATGGGATAGGTCTGTGATCATCATGTTAAGTGACATGAGGCCAGGGGTTGGGTTGTAGGTCAGTGGTGTACTGTTGACTCAGAAATGCAAGGTAGTAGGTTCAGTCTTCAGTAGTACACAATGTAGGTTGATAGAGGGGAATTGAAGCACAGAAAGACCAGTTCTTCATGCTCGAGCCCATATGCAGAACCTTAAACAGTTGATTTTAGAAAATATAGTTGAGTATAGACTCGTGGTTGCCAGATGCCAAGGAATATGGAAGTGGGTTATCAAGTTTTAGAAAGGAATAAGAAGCTTGTTTTAGCTATTCTAATATATGTTGACTATATGTAACAAAAATGATTATGAGGAACAAAAACATCACAAATCTATGTGGATTCTGAGTGTTTTATCATGAAGAAATAATAAATGATAGATGGGGTAAATATGTGTAACTTGACTGGAATATTATTTAGAATTTTCTAGGTAAAAACTTAATGCCTCATTAATATGTACAACTTTTATGTGACAGATAAAAATAAACTTTAAAAAGAATAGTACATATTCTTAGTAGAATTCAGCAGGGCTATCAGGTCCCAGGGTTGTTTTCATGTGGCAGACATTTAATACTGATTCAATCTCTCTTGTTATTGATTTATTTTACTTTTTTGTTTCTCCAGAATTCAATCTTAGAAGGTTGTCTGTGTCAGGAATGTATTCATTTCTCCTAGGTTTTCCATCTTGAGGCATATAATTGTTCATAACCACCTTTTATGATCTTTTGTATTTCTGTGAAATTGGTTGTAATATCTTTTTCCCCATTTCTAATGTTATTTGTTTGAATCAACTCTATTTTTTATGTTTTAACGTTTCCCTTACTTTTTGTATTTATGAAAAGTTATATAGTTTGTGTCCATTAATATTACTGTAGAAATATCTGCTCAAATATATCTCTATTAACCCTTATGCCAGTGTTAGATGGCATTTACTCAACATTTTTACTGATCTAGAAAATTTCTATCTTCACTTAATATGAATAAAAATTTACATATTTGATTTTGGTGAATGTCATTTCATTTCAACATGAAGAAACAACATTTCTTTAGACATCAATTTTTAATAGGAGGTATCTTAATTCCCTAAGCTTTTTATTTGGCTTGTTGTGAAGTCAAGCCTCCATTCTATGTTTGCACATTGTCCTCCAGCCTATGTCCACATGTCGGTCTGGAGCTCCGTGTTTCTGAAGCATCTGTCTACACCTGGGCCCTGGGGACTTTGTGCCTGACCCTAGGGTCTAAGGTCAAGTTTAATTTTCCCTTCAATTTGCTTTTCCCATACAATGGCTATCTCTTTTTGTTCTGTTTCCTAAGCTGGGGGTGGGATCGAGGAGTGGTCCATGCAAAACTTTCCTTCTACTGGCTTAAGAGTTTTGTCGCCCTTATTATTGTACTCTAAGAAAAAGTTATGTTATCTCCCCATGATCCCTTAGCTCTTGTGAAGGTATTTTCCTGTGAGATTTAGTTCCTTCTATTCCACCATTACTTTAGCCATTTTGTATTGCTGTAACGGAACAACATATACTGGAGAATTGGTATTGATCAGGAATTTCTAAGCTTCCAGTTTGGTAGGCTAGGATAGTCAAAGCGAAATTCCTGACAAGTGGTAAGGGTCTACCGCATTAAAACCTGGCAGAGAGCATCATATGACCACAATTTGAAGATAGGGTGAGAGAGGAAAGGAAGTGGATGAGCTTGACTTTTCATAAGCAAGGTTCTTCTGTGATAATGAGCCACTTCCCACAGCAATGACACTGATCCGTTCATGAGGACAGACCAGTTGCCTATCACTTCTTGAAGATCCCACTTCTTTAATACTATCACAATGTCAGGTAAACCTAAACATCAATTGGGAGGGAACAAATAAACAAATCAATGCAGCTTTCTTCCTAATACCACACAGCCTTTTTCTTTTGTCTGCAAATGCTTCTGACATCAACTGTAAACTGTGACAGCAACTTTTTACTGCAGAACTCTCCCAGAACAATGTATACTACCTTATAATAATATCATTACTATTTCTCATGTCCATATGTTTGTATTAAAGAAGTGGAAACCATAAATAAAATCAAATATGAATGCTGGTGCCCAGAACATTATAGACAACATGACTGCTATTTTTACTGGACCACTATTGTAGCTATTGTACATATGAGCCTTTGTACATTTAGGGCTGTTGTACAAGCAAAGTCTTCCAAGTTATTACTCATACTCAATATTTTGCCTGAGCAGTAATTTAATTAGACCTTTGTCCGATTATGGATACCTATTTTTCTTTTTTTTTCTTTTGGATAATCTTAGATGTAGGTGAATGTAATGGGACAATGCTGAAACTAACTATGGCTTAACTTGTTTCTATTAGATTGTTCCACCAGTAGATATTTGAAATTTTTCTAAATATCATAGATGAGAATCCCAATATGAGATTACCTCCTACCCCTGGGGTGTATAAACTTATTTTACTTGGAACAATACAACATTTCTTATGGAGGAGACTTGAAGTAACAGTAATGGATTGTGGGTATGACATTTTCTCCTGGCATTCCAGAGGTATAGGAAAGATATCAGTGTCCTGGTATTGTTTTGTATATGTCCCACATCTCA